AATGAGATAGCTTTTTTTTTTCCTTTAATTTTGGCCACAACGGGACAGGAGCCCATTAACTTCATTGTAAACGAAGGGATTCGATTTCGAGTGAGGTGGTGCTAGTTTTTGGTAAGACTTATGAATGTCACTAGAATGTGGTCACTTCTCAGGTAGTCTGGTTTTTTTTTTTAAATGTTTTGAGATCTTATCATTTTAGTCAAGTAAAATTGTTTGTCTGATAATATAGTAGTCCATAGATTTTGCTAAAATATTTTTCTACTATAGTATGTTGTAACACGCATAATGAGTATTCTTGTGTTATATATCATTTTTCAGCATGTTTTATAACATTTGACACTTGAATATGTCTTTGTTAGAGTGTCCTTCTGAAAGTTTTGTACCACCAGGCCTGTCTGAGCCATTTGGGGTTGGTGTGCAAATGTCCAGTATATGATGTTTGGCCACAAAAATATTGTTAAGAGTGATTGTTTTGTCCACGTTATGTGTCATCATATCATTCGTTGGATGATGTATTAATGTATAACGTTTTTTTTGTTTCTAAACATATATTGATTAACTTTAAACAAGAATTCAGAGCATTTCGAGCTAAGTTGTGCTAAGTTTATAAGTAATTCCTCAACACTATATTTCCGAGGCAATTGTCTTTTTTACTAAGTCCAACGAGCAAACTTGATGATGTAATCAAAATGGTTTAGTTGGTTTAGCGTTAATTCATCGATTTAAAATAACTTGTGATGCACGCTTTTGTTTCGTTTGACAGATGAAGTTTCCACACACATGCTTTTGTTGAATAGGTCAAAAATAGAAGACTCGCACATGGTGTAAAAACGATATTTCACCTAAACCAAATATTTGGGCATTTTATAGGTTTAAGTTGCAACTTGCAAGTGTGTATGAGAATCAATGACCAAATTACTACAACTCTTATTACTTATCTTATACATACATATACTTGCGAAAATCAACTTGATGTTGTTTTAATTAATATATCATAGTAAATACATTAGAATAATACATACTGGTGAAAAATCTTTAAATCTGCGAACTTGACGAAGCCAAATTTGAGTTCAGTTTACACGAGGGTTTCTTGTACAGCAAGAAATAGGAATCCACGCGTTAAAATGACAGCAGATTAATTAAAGCATGTTCATGCGTGTATATTTAGACATAAATCTTTTGTCGTTTCCATTCCAAGTCAGAGTATCGATCTCAAGAAATCGAAGACAGTACAAGCAGAAGCTGATCATTACTGACTATCTGTTGTAGAGCCAATATCAGTTGATTTTTATTATCTTCACTCTCGAATCCTTCCAATTTGACCAGTTTCAGATCCCTTAGTACTCTTGCATGCTCGCATGCATGGACAGCATCAACACTAACTTCTTCGTTTGAACTATAAGTATTTGAATCGATCTTCGAAATAATTCAAGGTATTAGCACGATGCATGAACTAACAAAGTAACAAAGGTTTTAGGTGCTTGACACTTACATCAATGAAGAGGCGCTCGATTGATGGGCAAAGTTTGAGAAAAGAAATCATGGAATTAATGTTTTCTTGGTTCATCGAGTTATCGATCCACCGCAATTCTTGTAACTTGTAGAATTGGAATGATCTCCAAGATGATGATATGGACGGTTTGATTACTTCCTATAAACAAATAACTTTCGAATTACCTGATCCTAATTTTGAATAGTAGCCATTGTAGACCAATTTATGTCGTAGATGATATATATATTACCTTGAATCGTAGAATAAAAAGATATAGAGACTATATTTGTTTACCTCGAACATCCATCTGCAAAGTGTAAGATATTGAGAATTCTTGATGATCAGCGAGAGAGGACCGATGTCTAAACCGTTGTTGTAATAACTTGGACCTTGTGTTACGTCGAAAATCGCCTTGGTCAAGTTGAAATGTTCATGAATCTTGATCAAAGGTAGAGATCCTTGGTAATGAAAAGTTTTAAGCTTAAATGATCTGATCTCGAGATATCTCAGCTTCGGGCATCCCGAGATTGATAAGTGAAGAAGCTTAGTTGGTGAATCAATAGTGAGAGAAGTCAATCCCTTGCAACCACAAATCTTGAGGCTATCAAGTAAAGAAAATTCCAATACCATGGAGGAAACGACCTCGTGGGTTAACGAATTCACCGAGTCTAAACAAAGCGTCTTCACCAAGAAACCGCTTGAGTCCACACGTCTTGGGATCTGATCGTTGATCTCAAGACGCCAGCAAAAGCTCTCTTCTTTGTTAGAACCACCAGAGAAGAAGAAGCTCATATGCATGACGTTATGAGGTGCGAGAATAGTGGACACGAAGGCTGACTTGTCAACGTGTAACTCTAGCCTCCGAGTATTTTAGTAGGATCATGCTCGTCGAAGTTGTGAGATGAAGCGAGAGAC